GGAGGAGGAGGAGGAGGAGGAGGAGGAAGGGGGAGGACGAGGAGGAGGAGGAGGAGGAGGAGGAGGAGGAGGAAGAAGAGGAGGAAAAGGGGGGCCGGTGTTCCCACACCCTGATCTCCCGCTCGAGGAGGTCGAGCCGACGCCTCTCCCGAAGCAGATTCCCATTTTCATCGGGAGGGAAAAGAAAAAACCACAGACACAATTAATCGTCTATTACCCCGGAAAATATGGGAAATATGGCAAGTGGGGGGAAGACGAAAACCCAGAAAATATGGGAAAAGATGGGGAATCCTGTTATTTGTGTGTATTTATTTCTGTGTCCCAGGGCCCCTTCATTTCAGCTCGCGCGACAAGAAACGGCGTGTTTGTGGGGAGCGGTGGGAACTCCAAACGCGAAGGGTTCGAGCCCGCAGGAGGGGGGCAATCTGCAGGAACAGCCGTGAGGCACCAGCGATTCGAGCCCCAGTCGCAGGGAACGTATGCGTAAAGCGAAGCGCTCGAGGCCCAGGAGAGGGGCAAGCTGAATCTCCAGGAGCGCACGTAGAGCCACAAACGGCAGAGGGAAACAATTCGTGAGCACCCCCCCGTGCCCCCCAAGCTCAGGGTTGGCACGCGCGGGGGAGACTGCGGTCGAGGTGCAGCTCCTCAGACCCGCCGCCAACTCTGAACACTGGGGGGAGGGGGAGGCGTGCACAGATGAACGTGGCATGAGTGCTCGCTATTTTTCCGAGGCCTGTATGCCCACGATTGCACACTCCGCGCGCTCCCTGGGGGGGGGGGGGGGGGCGGGCCATCGATCGGGGGGGGCGACGCGCCCCCCCCAGACCTCATCCGGCAATCGAAACCTCGAGGAGGAAGAGGGGGAGGAGGAAGAGGCGTTCGCAGATGAGTGTGCCATGAGTGTTCGCTGTTTTTTTTTCCGAGGCCTGGAGTGTAGGGTTCGCCAGTGGTCGCAGGTCTGCGAACAAGCATGGGGGAAGCGGGCCCTGCGGGAAACGAGTCCTGGGCCCCTCCCTCCTCCCCCTCCCCCTCCCCCTCCTCCTCCTCCTCCTCCTCCTCCTCCTCCTCCTCCTCCTCCTCCTCCTCCTCCTCCTCCTCCTCCTCCTGAATGTGGCACGAGTGTTCGCTGTTTTTTTTCCGAGGCCTGAGCTGTTCGGGCCCCAGGAGAGGGGCGGCGACGCCTGTGGGGGCGAAGCCCTCGAGGGCGAAGCCTGCGGGGGGCCGAGAGGCGCTGCCACCCGAATACATACCCCTCGGTCGTTGAAGGTTGGTATTTTTCTTGGCGTCGCTCGGAGGTGTGCATTTTCCCGGAAAGGGCATAAGCCCAGGGTTCTCTTTTAGATGGTTTCCCCCCGGGTTTGACGGGAAGAGGGCCGGCGAATTTCTTTTGCGATAAATAACGAGTGGGAAGAGGGCCGGCGAATTAAAATTTGAGGATGTCCCTAGCGAAACGCTTGTTTTTCAGAATTTGTTGAGGATGTCTCGAGCGAGACGCTGGTTTTGCAGAGTTGGGGATGTCTCGAGCGAAACGCTTGGTTTCAGAATTTGTTGAGGATGTCTCGAGCGACACGCTGGTTTTGCAGAGCCGACCGCGACACGGAAAAGCGCTCCTCGCGCAGGAATTCCGAGGATGTCTCGCGCGTGCCGCGTCCCGCGCGCGGGTATTTGGATTTCTTGGGATTTTGACAGGATGTCTCGAGCGAAACGCTTGTTTTTCATAATTTGTTGAGGATGTCTCGAGCGAAACGCTGGTTTTGCAAAATTGGAGGATGTCTCGAGCGGTGGCCTCGTGGGGGGCCAGAATTCAAAGGATGTCTCAGGCGAAATGCTTGTTTTCACGTCCCGCTCGCAGGAATTCCGAGGATGTCTCGCGCGTGCAGCGTCCCGCGCGTAGGAATTCAGATGATTTTGACAGGATGTCTCGAGCGAAACGCTTGTCCCCAGCACGTTCCGTAGCGCGTCCCCTTGGCAGGTCCCGCGATGCGTCCCCATGGCACGTCCCTTGGCACGTCGCTTGGCGCGTCCCTTGAGACGTTCTGCGTCGCGTCCTCCTGGCATGTTCCCCTGTCCATTAGCTCTGGGGCAGCTACTATGTGTTCAGGCAGCTCGAGCTTAAGATCCAGATCAGTTCGGTCAGGACTCGGATGCAAAGGAGGACTCGATCCACGAGGCTATAGAGCACAATCGCGCCATGGCACATCGCAATTCAGCACGGCGCAGCACAGCACTGATTTCGGCACGGTACATCAAGGTCGATGCACTCAGCATTGCAACTTGGCACGTTCCTTGGCACGTTCCGTGGGGCGTCCTTTGGCGAGTCCCCCTGGCACGTCGCGTCGCGCGTCCCCTGGCACATCCCGTGGCACATCCATTGGCACGTTCCGTAGCGCGTCCCCTTGGCACGTCCCGCGGTGCGACCCCATGGCACGTCCCCTGGCACGTCGCCTGGCGCATCCCTTGGGACGTTTCGCGGCGCGTCCTCCTGGCATGTTCCCCTGTCCATTAGCTCTGGGGCAGCTACTATGTGTTCAGGCAGCTCGAGCTTAAGATCCAGATCAGTTCGGTCAGGACTCGGATGCAAAGGAGGACTCGATCCACGAGGCTATAGAGCACAGTCGCGCCATGGCACATCGCAATTCAGCACGGCGCAGCACAGCACAGCCCTCGGCAGGGTACATCAAGATCGATACCTTCAGTATTGCATTTGCCCGTCACCCAATCAGGTGTCTTTGAAAACGCTGCCATGTGTTACAGTTCTACATTCCTTTCCGGGTTCGTGGGTCGATCATGTTTTTCCTTCGGCGAGGGCCATCGAGGAAGGAGCATCTTTGATCATCTGGCAGAAAAAACCACGCACGAGACCGACAAAAGACATAGGGAATGGACGTCCGGGCGATGGCCAGTTTATGATTCCCATATTTCAGTCTACTTTAAGCGCCCTCCTACTTCAATGATCGAGTGGCTTCCCCTCTTCCCTCCTCTCCAGGGGGCGGGCGGAGACCCAATCTGCTTCCAACGCCTTCCTACTTCATGTTTCTACCCACTTCTTCCGACCGGTGGGTACCCCAACACGGGAAAAGTGTCTCCTGGGGCATCTTGGGAACTCCTGGGACCTCCTGGGGGCGGGGGGGCCGAGAAGCGCTCCCCGAGCACATCTAGTTATCCCAATGCATAAAAGCGTGTCCTGGGGCCTCCTGGGCCCTTCTGGGGCGGGAGGGCCGAAAAACGCTCCCCGAACACGCATCCCGTAATACAGAGAAATGCTTCCTGGGGCCCCATGGGAGGGGACAGGTCGAAGAGCGCTCCCCGAACACCTATCCGAATACAGAAAATGGCTGCTGGGCCTCCGGGGGGCGGGAGCGCAGAAAGCTTGCCCCCGAGCAGATATCCCTGGAGGTCCTGGGGCCTCCTGGGGCTTCTGCAAATACACGCCGGTCGTCGAAAGTAGGTATTTTTTTGGACTCCCAGACCCCAATCTACTTCAAGCGCCTTCCTACTTCAAGAATCGACATGCTTTTGCTGTGTTTGGTTATTCTCAGGGAGGGCCAGAACCCAATCCACCATATCCGCCTTTCTACTTCATGTTTTTACCTACTTCCGACCGACGTGTATCCCTGGAGGTCCTGGGGCCTTCTGGGGCTTTTGCAAATTGCGGCGAGACTGGTCTGACGGATTCCCCTACGCTGCTAAGTTGCGAGGAAGTCCGACGCGAAACGGCCGTTCCGGCATCCGCGAGTAGCAGCAACAACATTTTGAAGGACCCCCTTGTGGCGCTAACTCGCTAAGAAGTTTCGAGCGAAAAGGCAGTGCCGGCACCCGCGAGTAGCGGCAGTCTATTTCTGAAGGACACCCTTGGAATGCTAAATTCTAAGGAACGGCATCCGCTTTCCTGAGGCTCGGGCCCTCTCTGGCCAGTGCCTCTCGGAGTAAGTTGTGAGGATGTATCGAGCGGGAGCGCTGTTGTTATTGGGGGGCCGGTTTGGGCGGAACCCCGAAACGTTCGAGCGTGAGCCTCGATTTCAAAGGAAACGTAGACAGCGCCGAGGCGAGAGCACCAAAGCTCCTGGAGGGGGTCCAACAATAAGAATTTTTAAGTACTTGATATTCAACAATAGTCCGCACTGCGAAACTCCACTTCAGCCACGCGCCCAGGGACAGTGAATGACCGTTCGGCCCCTTCATTTTGGTATACAGAGAGAGATGGGTAACTGGAGACAGGGAGGGAGAGGGAGAGGGAGAGGGAGAGAGAGAGGGAGAAGGGGGGATCAAGCTAGGTGCGCAAGCGTCGCATCTGACGTCCTAACCCTCCCTCCCATCCCTTACCACGGCGTAGATCTGCTCTCTATTCGCACAGTCGGATGTCGAGCACTGCGTATCCTAGCATTGCAGCAGAAGGCATGGCATCGCACAGCGGAACACAATATAGCATTGCATTGCATGCTATGGCATGGCGCTGGGAATGAGGGCAGCGCTGCAGCGGGAACACGATTCAGGACGAGCAGAAGCGCGGAGATAAGGCCAGCGTGGCAGCGGGAGCACGATTCTGAACGAGCAGAAGCGCAGAAACGAGGCCAGCGCTGCAGCGGGAGCACGATGCGGAACGCGCAGAAGCACCAACATGAGGCCAGCGCTGCAGCGGTAACAACATTTTGGAAGAACCGAGAAGGTTCGGATTGGAAAAACACATGCGAGAATCCAACTCGCAGGCATCCCATGCGTAAAAATCAATACGCGAAGGGGGGCGCGCTCCCTCATAGGGGTCTTCGAGGGCGGGAGGAGAGTAGTATTCGTATTGAGTAAATGTCGAGAGAGAAAGAGAGAGGAAGAGAGAGAGAGAGAGAGATAGAAAGAGAGAAAGAGAGAAAGAGAGAAAGAGAGACAGAGACAGAGATAGAGACAGAAAGAGAGAGAGAGAGAGAGACAAGGAGAGACGGAGCTTATTGGGCCGGCCAGGGGAAGCCCAATCGCTGATCTCCAAACGTTTCTGCGTATGCCGTCGGGTTGGGGAGATCATGAGCTGAGTGGATTGTGAGAAGACTAGCGTGCCCGCCGAGCTTTGCAGAAATATTGTTTTTCCGAGGCAGCCACCCTCGGAGCCTCAGTGGGTGGGCAAGGCGACGGCTCATGATATTACTTACTGTTGCTCTTCTGAAGCCAGTAGAGTGCTTGGGTCCGCAACTCCATCTCCGAGTAGCATTGCGCATTCACGCTTCGCGCCTTCATAGCTGTTGACTCAAGCCGATTGCGCTCCAGCGAATCCTTGTGTGGTGTTGTCAAACCTAGAGAGTCCGTAGCGCCGGTCCCTGAGAGCGATGCGGCGTACAAGTGCCCTCTTGCTCCTGTTCGCTGATAACCTTGGTTGCGGTGAATCCGCACGGCTGTCCTCCGAATATGACTCTGCATCGCGTTCCGACGCGGCGGTCAGTCTTGCCAGAGACAGTGGGGAGTGGAAGATGTGCAACCCTTGGTCTAGTGAAGACACTCGCATGTATTACTTCCAGTCCGTGGAGGAGGACGGCGATCCCACGGCCATCTCGTTCTTGCGCGACAAAAATGATCCGACACTGTATTTTTACAAGCACACAGAGTGGACCGCGAAGTACGAGAGGTATTACGTTGGGGCTGGCAGCGACGGATTCGCGAAGAAGTACCGGTCTCAATGGCAGCCTGCCGTCCCTTTGGGCGCTAAGAAGCCGCATGAAGTCGCGACTATACATTTGGGAGCACAGTCTTTGGAGTACGTTCGGTGCGTTCCCGTGTCCACCCCAGATGGGTCCAAGTCCTGTCTGCTCGAGATTAAGAGCCAGGGCGTGAAGAACGAGTTCTTTGGGGGCATGTTCTTCCCCGACTCCCTGGCCAGGCAGGCGCTCCGACACTTCAAGAACGGCAAAGCTGGTCAGTCGCTTCTGGCTCCAATTCCCAATTGCACCACGCAGAGTTTCTACGTCAACGTTCAAAAGGGCAAGGAGCAAGAGACCAGTTGCCAATTGCGCGTCGCCGCAACCGTTGAAGCCGCTTTTCAGGATAGCAGCTTTGACTCCAGCGACTGGAAGTTCAACGATGGCCGGAACGTGAAAGTCTATGCAAGCATGGGCGGCGGGTTTATGATCGGCATGGTCGCAGGAGGTCCTATCGGCGCGCTGATAGGGGCAGGGATCACCGGCGCCACGGTGGGAGTGGGAGCTTTATACAAGTACCTCATGGGGCAGAAAGACATTGCTCTGAGCGCGAGCGAGAAGATCTTCGAGAAGCTCCGCTGCATGAGCATGTTCTCTACGTGCGGCAACGGCGCGCTGGTGCCGAAAGGGAAGCCGTGCCCATTGTTCTGAGTGCGGCGCCTGCGCGGCAGATTCGAAGAAACTACAGTAGAAACCGGGAGTAAGGATGGCCAACCTTCCCAAGGGTACCCCTGCATCTTTGCCTCTTCGATCCGTCCTCAGCCCTTTTCGAAGGCCAGACCCTCTCATTATAGATGGAGTGCAGTATCCCCAAACAGGGTTTTTAGACCCACTGCGGTTTCCAAGGTCGAGTGCGTGCCCGTCCAGTGCGGGCTGGCATGGCATGTTAAAACATGCCTCCTCCTCCTCCTCCTCCTCCTCCTCCTCGTCCTCCTCCACCTCCTCTTCATCCCGAACGGCATCTCGGAGCCCAGAGTTGCGAGGATGTCTCCAGCGTAACGGGCTGGACCACCTCGCGCGCGGCATTTCGGACCCCAGAGTTGCGACGATGTCTCGGGCGAAACGTGCTGCGAGGAAGTCTCAGGCGAAACGGGCCGGACCACCTCGAGCGCGGCGTCTCAGAGCTCCGAGTTGCGGGGGCCTCCTGGGGCCTCCTGGGACCTCCTGGTGACCTCCTGGGGCTTCCTCCTGGGCCTCCTGTGGCCTCCTGGACCCCACCTGGGGCTTCCTGAAGCCTCTTGGGGCTCCCAGGGGGGGATATCTAACATGTGGCCGTCGGGGCCCCCCAAAATGTGGGGGGGGGGGCACAAGAGCAGGAAAAATCAACGAATCGGCACCGGATGTGTATTAACTTGACACGTTCTGATAGGGGGCCTCCTGGGCCTCCTGGGAGCCTCCTGGGAATCTCCTGGGGACCCCTGGGGCCTGTCCTGGGCGTCCTGCGGCCTCCTGAAGCTCTCTGGGGCCTCCTGGGGCTCCCAGGGTCCCAGGGGGGATATGTAACATGTGGTCGTCTGGGCTCCAGACTGGACCACCTCTTGCGCGGCATCTGGGAGCTCAGAGTTGCGAGAATGTCTTGTGCGAAACGGGCCGTACCGCCTTGCGTACGGCATCTCAGAGCTCAGAGTTGCGAGGATGTCTCAGGCGAGATGGGCCGGACCACCTCGCGCAGGGCATCTCGGAGCCCAGAGTTGCGAGGATGTCTCCAGCGTAACGGGCTGGACCACCTCTTGCGCGGCATCTGGGAGCTCAGAGTTGCGAGAATGTCTTGTGCGAAACAGGCCTCTCAGAGCTCAGAGTTGCAAGGATGTCTCAGGCGAGACGGGCCAGACCACCTCGCGCAGGGCATCTCAGAGCTCAGAAGTTCGAGGATGTCTCAGGCGGGCTCCCAGGGTCCCAGGGAGGATATGTAACATATGGTCTTCTGGGCTCCAGACTGGACCACCTCTTGCGCGGCATCTGGGAGCTCAGAGTTGCGAGAATGTCTTATGCGAAACGGGCCGGACCACCTTACGCGCGGCATCTCAGAGCTCAGAGTTGCGAGGATGTCTCAGTCGAGACGGGCCGGACCACCTCGCGCAGGGCATCTCAGGGCTCAGAAGTTCGAGGATGTCTCAGGCGAAACGGGCTGGACTACCTCTCGCGCGGCATCTCCGAGGTCAGAGTTTCGAGGATGTCTCAAGCGAAACGGGCCGGACCACCTCGCGCAAGGCATCTCAGAGCTCAGAGTTTCGAGGATGTCTCAGGCGAAACGGCCCGGACTACCTCTCGCACGGCACCTCGGGGCTCAGAGTTTCGAGGATGTCTCAAGCGAAACGGCCTGGACCACCTCTCGCGCGGCGTCCCGGAGCGCAACTTTTCGAGGATGTCTCAGGCGAAACCCGCCAATCCCGGCCAACTCAGAAACGAGAGTTGTGAGGATGTCTTAAGCGAAACGGCCCGGACCATCAATTTTTTGTGAGGATGTCTCTGCTCCGATTTCCTTCGGCCGGAGTTAGCTTTTATCACAACAGCACCCCGTTCAGCAAGCTGTTTGGGGAACAAAAATCTTCGGCATGCGCGTCCAAGGCCCTTGCATCCTCATCACGCATCTTTGCTATCATTTTTAATTGCGCAGTGCCGTTTTTAGTACATGCTCCGCCGCGGATCATGTATTAAACATGCAGGGATTTAGTATTAAAAGCAACGGTGAGTTCATGCATAAGTTTATTCATAAATCAGTCATGTATGAAAAATCATATCTTTTCCTTAAATAAAACCATATGTAGGCTGTAGGCTGGCGAAGAGCCCGGCCCGAAGAGAATTTGCGTGATGCGCACTGCGTACTCTTTTCTTCGCGTGCTGGGCGCCGCGCCGCGCGGGCGGTGCGGACAGGGGCCTGCGGCGCGGGCGGGCAGGGGTGCGCTGAGTCCCCTTCCGGGGCACGCTCCGCGCGAGAGGGGGGTGCCGAATCGGGCGGAGCACCCGCGCGGACCCGCGCACCTGGTGCCGCAGGTGGAGCTTGCTGCCGGGCACGATCCGTGCGCCTCCACCTGGCATCGCTCGGACGCTTCGGCGAGGACCATCGAGGAGCATCCTTGACCACTTGGCGAAAAAACCGCGCACGAAACCGAAAAAAACACAGGGAATGGACGTCCGAGCGATGGCGAGCTCCATGGGCGGCGGGCGCCATGCGTTGACTTTAGGCTCGGGAAGGCTCGGGTCAGGGAACCATAATCATGACAGAAGGGGACGCCCGCGCGCGCTCGCAGGGACTGCGCGCATCAGAGCGCGCAATTGGATCGTGCGAGCAAAGCGCGTTGGCGACAGCGGTTGCTGTTGGTTTGTTTCTTGCTTGTGTGCTGCTTGATGGCCGGGCAGCGCGGAGAGCTCTTCATCGAAGAGTTCTTAGATTGGAGGGTCGATTCCTCCGAGCGCGAGTCCCTTTCTGCGCTCGTGCAGAGAGAGGGACTGGAGTCGGCTGGCGATTTAGCGCATTTGTTTTGCTCGACGGACGAGGCGGAGCAGTGTGGAGTGCCCACGGCCTGGGCCGTGGCTCGGGACGTGGCGCGGGTGACGCCGTGGCTGGTGCCCGCGCATGGCATTTGCGCGGAGGGGCGATTTGGCGGCGCGGCGGCGGCCGCCGCGCCCGCCGTGAGCGCGGGGGCCGCGGCGGGGAAAGGGCGTGGGCCTACCGCCGCGCGCCGCGGTCGGCCGAGACGCTGTGCCGCAGTGGCGACGGAGGCGGCAGAGCGTGAGGGGCGCGTTCAGCTGGCGGTCAGCGCAGTTCGAGTGTCGCTTGAATGGCGCCCGGAAAGCGGCCTCGGGCAGGGGTTGCAGGAGGCGCAGGCCGAGATGCTCGCCGACGTCTCGTCCGCGGCGGTGTTTAGGCTGAGTAATTTCGAAGCCGGGACGCTGCGCACGGCCTTGCGCGTGTGGGGGCAGTGGGCCGAGTGGGCGGGCCGGCAAGGGCAGCCGGCGACGAGTCTGGCGCGGCAACCCATGGCAGTCGCCGAGTTCGTGCATAAGCTCTCGATCGCACGGACGTCCGGCGTCAGGATCTGGAACGCCTTGAAGTGGATGTGCGTACATTTGAAAGCGCCTTTCTGCCTGGACGATGCGTTTCGCCCTGTGCCACGTGATCCAGGCAGTGGAACCGTAGCACCGCCGGCCCAGGCCACTGTCGTCGAACCCGAGATGATTTACCATGTGATCGATTTCCTGGATGGCGCGAGAACGCCTGGGCAAGTCATGCTCGCGGCTGGGATGCTGGCGGTGGTATTCGCGTGGGTGAGGTACACGCACCTGCTGCGCTCTAGGCCTTTAGAGAAGTCTGTTTATTTTTGCTGGTTCCGCGCATCGAGGGGGGAGCAGGGAAAGCGACAGGGGCGACCTTCGTTCGATTGGTGCTTGCCGAGGCGGCTAGGTGGCGCGCGGTCCGCCGCTGACGCCTTGTGGGATGGTTGGCACAAGTTGGCGGCGCGGGAAGATCGAGCAGGAAGGGCTGTGCCGACGGGGCTCGTCTTCGATCCAGTTTCCGGCGCGCCGGTGAAGTTGGGTGCCTTTAACCGATCGCTGAAGGAAGTATTCCGAGGCTCGCTAGCGGACGATTCCCAGTTGGATCTTGTGACTTCGTACAGTTTGCGCCGGGCTGGGCCTACATGGGCGAGCGCGATACAATTGGACTGGGAAGCCCGAGTCATCTCGGGCGGTTGGACGGAGGGGGGAGACAACTCCCGTCGGAACCAGATGCCGATCGTGTATAATGCGCGTCGGCGGCAAGCCGAGATGTGCACGCGCCTGCACATGGCCGGAGTGTTGTCGTGCCTGCGGACCGATCTGGAGGCCCCAGTGCAGTGGGAGCAAGTGCGATGCTGGGCGAGTTCTGCGCCAGGAAAAGTAATGTTGGCCGACCTAGAGAAAGAGGCGCAGCAGCGGGTGGCGGTGTCGACCGTTCGTGAGAAGGCCGCGTTCTTGCCCCCGTCGGTCGTCGAGGAGTTGAGGCGGCAGAAGTTTCTCCGGATAATCGTGGCCCCGCGTGGACAGCGGGTGGGGCGCGGTAAAGCGCCGGGCGCGCCTCCACCCAATTGTCGGGGTCCTGCCGACGGGGGCGCCGCGGGTAAGAGCGGTGAGGGGGGGGCGGGCGCCGAAGCGCCGGGCGCGCGTGCGCGCGCTGCGCAAACCCTCGCGTCGGGGGCACCGCGTGCAAAGCGGGGGGGGCGCGGTAAAGCGCCGGGCGGTTTGCGTGGGAACGCGTTGCCTGCGCCTGCGAGTCCACGCAGAGCGCCGAAAGTTGCCGGCAAAAACAAGCGACCAGCAGAGGCGGGAGCGCGCGCCAGTCCGGCGTCGGTTGCCATTGCGGGCCGCGCAGGGCGAACCGCGGGTCGATCGCGCGGCCCAGCGGCATTGTGCCCGGGCGTGGGCGGCATTGGAGGCTGTCTCCATCCCCAGGTCCAGGGGAGATGAAGTGTCGGTGCGGCCGGGAGACGCAACCCGTGCAGGCCCGGCCGCGTTCCAAGCGCGGGGAGTTGACTGCGCCGGTCGCGCGGTGACCGTGCTTCCAGGTGACGAGGCAGCGCAGGGCGCGGAGTTGGGTGAATGTGACGTAAAGGGCTCAGATGGCGCGCCAGCGCACTGCGCGCCGCCAGTCAGGCAGGTTGCGGAGGGATCATCCGCGCGCGCGTCGCGAGCCGTGGGCCCGTCGCCCGAGCCGCGGGGCGCGATCGGGTACGTGCAGTCTGAGCCTGGGAGGGCTACCCGGGTAAGGGAGGTTATGGGGCCTCGATATCACGTCGCGATGCCCGTAATTCGTCGCCTCAAAAAGTCCAGAGCCTGGACGGACAGTGAGTTCGGGCCAGTGACGAACCTATGTCAGAATGGATTGAG